TTTAATATGACATTCATAATTCATATGATTTTCATACATGATTCATACAGTTTCATATATGTTAAATTGATACACATTTAGTAATAATCAGTAATAATTTATATAAAACCATCAGTAGTCACAATAAAAATACAAACAGAAACAAATTGTATGTATATTACTGGTATGAATAATGTATGCAAGATGGTGATACACATTTATTAATGTATAATTGTATGATATAATTCATACATTTTTCATACAGTATTCATACCAGTAATATAATTAATATATGTTTCTGTTTGTATTTTGAAAGTGTATAGTATTCAAGCAAAACAAATTTCAACATTACTATGTACTATATATCAAATTTTCATATGACATTCATAATTCATATGATTTTCATACACGATTCATACAGTGTTCATATATGTTAAATTGAGACACATTTAGTAATAATCTGTAATAATTTATATAAAACCATCAGAGTATTCATAATAAAAAAAACTGGGAAAATACATAAATTGTTCATAAGTTAAAAAAAAAGTACTATGTGCCATGAATATTTCTACTTCCTGATACGAAATTTTGGAGTAGGATAATTGGTGGTGTCCATAACTTGTTCTTTATGAGTTCGAGGTCCACCCTTCTTGCTAGTTCCTGTAACTTCACTTTCACTGATTGTGCCTTCATCATTCTTTGATTTTCCATAATGTCAAAGTAATGTAGCACATCTTTGATGATGATATGTTGAATCAATATCAATATGTGACATATCAAAAACACCATTGCTCATGTATTCGGCAAATAGAGATGTGTATAAACCACAATCACTGTAATCAAATTGAAAAAAAAATAGTAATGAATATATAACAATTTCAATTTAAAATGAATAAAAAATAATGTAAGAAATATACATACTTTGAACTTTCTTCTTGTTGAGGAACATGTGTAACATTCTTGATGCTTAGAGGTTCAGAGTGAGACTTCTGTTGATAATCAGGGAGATTATTCGCATACAAATCAAGCCTTTTGCCATAAAACCCTGTGCTCGTCAGAAATAAAGGTATCATGGTTGCAAGCTT